TTTTGTGTACTTTTCATTCACTAAGCGAACAATGGACATATCACTAGTTTTCATGTATTTAGGAGTTAGGGCAGACATCAATATTATCAGTAATGATGTGCATAACATAATGGTGAGTTTCCTTACTATCATATCATACAGCTCCTGAAGGCTTATTTAGGCCAATTTTTACGGTGATATTTATGCCCTTTTCGAGGCATCACATCTTCAGTCACCATTCATTACGAATACAAAAAATGACGAGAAAGAAAGTCATGCAGGTTTGGAACAACATGAGGGAGAGTAAATCACGACAAAATGGTGAACTGCCCCTTTAAGAGCGGTCATGCAGTAGTTTCACTAATGACTGGCTTCTTCTTCGTGACCTTTGACAGCTGGCACAGGAGTGATAACGCTGAGCATACGTGTGATCTGGTTAATCATTCATCTGTTTAGGTGAAATACACACGAGCAACTGCACTTCACAAGCCAAATGCTTCTAACCAAGGTGATAAAAGCTCAGTTATTGTCATTAAAATGAAATAAAGGCTCGTTTGGGTTGATGTTAATAGGAAGTACTGATTTACAGGTTATCAGGTTGTGTTTTACTGCTCTGAAAACACAATACAGGTACATCTCAAAAAATTTGAATATCATGAAAAAGGTCAATATTTTTTGTCACTCATTTCAGAAAGTGAAACCCATATATTATATAGATTCATTACACAGAGTGAAATATTTCAAGCCTTTATTTCTTGAAATGGATGATTATGGCTTACAGATAATGAAAACCCAAAATTCAGTGTCTCAGAAAATTAGAATATTACATAAGATCAATAAAAAAAGGATATTTTAAACAGAAATGTCAGGCTTCTGAAAAGTATGTTCATTTCTATGCACTCAATACTTGGTTGGACCTCCTTTTGCATGAATTACTGCATCAATGCGGCGTGGCATGGAGGCAATCAGCCTGTGCCACTGCTCAGGTGTAATGGAAGCCCAGGTTGCTTTGATAGCGGCCTTCAGGTCATCTGCATTGTTGGGTCTGGTGTCTCATCTTCCTCTTGACAATACAGGTCAGGCGAGTTTGCTGGCCAATCAAGCACAGTAACACCATGGTCATT